GGTGAAGGAGGTTCGTGTGTGCCCTGAGATAACCCCTGGCCACTAAAAATGGATGTGGGGCATGGATTGAGCATCTACTATGTGCCTGGCATCATTCTGGATGCTGGGGACACAGAGGCAGACCAGATAGGCAAGTTCTCTGCTCTCAAGGAGTTCACACTCCAGCCCAAGGAAACAGACAATAATCAAGCTCACATATCTGTAAGATGACTTCAGAGAGAAGGAAAAGCTGTGGAGAAAACAAACCAGGGTGATGCGATTTGGAGCGATGGGGCTAAGGTGCTACTTTAGTCAGGGTGGTCAGTGTAGGCCTCTTTGCGACAGTAACTTTGGAGCCAAGACCTGAATGTCAAGAAGGAAACAGTCACGAAATGATACAGAGAAAGAGTACAGTCGACCCTCTGTATCTGTGGGGGCTGACTGCACTGCGTTATTTGATACAGGGACTTGAGCGTCTACAGATTTTGGTATCTGTGAGGGGGTCCTGGAACCAATCCCCAGAGGGTACCGAGGGACCACTGTATTCCAGGCAGGGGGAACAGCTTGGAGGTGGGAATGACCTTGCTGTATTTGAGTCATGTGGGCTAGGATAGAGGGAAAGAAGGTAAGGTCTGAGAGGTGGCAGAGTCACGTCAGGCAGAGTAGGGAGTGAGGGTTTTATATCTCTGAATAGGGAAAGGTGCTCAACACAACAGACACAGAGGACTGGGGGAAAGCACCAGAACAGACACCCGTTCTCCTGTAGCAGGAGTCTCCTCCGGTCAAACCTGTATCCATTGCCCTGGAGAGCTGTCAGGAGGCCTGTCCCAGCAGTGGCCATCATCTCTGGGCATAATTTCACGTGGCTTTCTTTTCTTCTTTGTATTTACTTATACAAAGAATGGTTTTTAATAAACGTATCATACATGGCCATTACGTATTCAGGCATTACCAGGCCCGCCCCTGCACCAGGTGGGTTTAAGCTTCTAGTCCGGAGTCGCCAGGCTCGACAGGTGACTTCCCTGGGGACTCTCCCCCAGGTGGGGCTATCTCTGCCATTGTCCTGGGTGATCCAGCTTTGGCCTCCAGGGGCACCTGTGAGCAGGGCCTTACTGGGGTGGGGTGACTGTGTCTCTCCGGCTGGGCCAGGCGTTCTTCCTTCCTTCCTGAGACTCCCTTCTCCTAAGGAACAAGTGGGAGGGACATCTGTGCCTCTCCCAGATCCTGGGATGAGTTGCTTGTCTGGGACTCTTTCACCAGGCCCCCTAGCAAAGGCTCCAGCGTGTGGTGTGTAGTTTACTTCCGCGTTCCTACCGCTACGCGAACTGTTCTGACAGAGATGTGCAGGGTGTCGAGGTGGGGAAAGGCCTAGTCACTAGGCATCTGGCAATACCCTCCACACATGGGATAATGACCTGGAGGCTAACCATCTTCAAACTGACCCCTGCCCCAGCCAAGCCCAAGACATAGTCTTGGTCTTTGGCGCCACCACGTGGGAAGTCTCTACACTGCAGTAACAGGCTTCACAAAATACCTCCAAACTCCAGGAGGTGCCCACTTACCCCAAGCCACATTTTCGTGAATGGATAGTCACTGGACTGTGCAGTGCACAACCTCTTCAGCCCTATGCAGCGGTCCTGCTCACGCTCAGACCTGGTTGCATATCATGGTCACAGGGAAGGCCACCACCACCATTAAAACCTCCTCCAGACTTGAGCCTTCTTGTAAAAGTTCCCTGACCCTCCACTTTTCAGTCCTCTCCGCCTTTGACCTGATCCACGTGTGTTGAACACGTATGATCTTCCCCCTCTTCTGAAACTCCCTCTGGCTTCTGTGACTGCTCCTCTTGGATTTCTAGCTGCTTCTCTGGCTATATCTCTTCATGCCCCTCTGTGGGCTCCTCAGGGTGCTGGGTCCCCTTCCCTCATCCTTGATTCTTTTCTCCAGGTCATCCTGACAGCTTCCAGGGCCTTGTTTCTGTTCCCACAGTGATGCCTTGAGTCTTCGCTCCGCATCTCTTGTGCCATTTCCCCACTTAAGATGACCCTTGGGCATCCCAAACTCACTGTATAAAGTCGGCCCCATCTCTTCTCCTCAGAACTGCTCTCCCTCCCAGGTTCTCAGGTTAGTCTGGGTGGCCTTTCCCCTGACACCTCTTTGGCCATCAAGTTGCCCCATCTTCTCTGCCCCTTGGCCAGGGCACCATCTGCACCTCCTTTCTGGCCTCTTAGTGTTCTTGGTTTCACCCGGCCTGGTCCATTCTCTACAGAGCCGCTTGATGGCTTCTGCATATTAAACCCTGTCCCTTCTCACTTCCCCGCTGGCCCTTCATCTCTGGCCAGTTCCTCCCCATGAGGTCCTAGCTCAGCCAGACTGAACTTCTTTGTTCCGTGAATACATCCTGCTTTCCCACGCCTCCATATCTTTGCACAGGCTGTTCTGTGCATCTTTTTTCCGTTTCCTTCACCTGGTAACTCCTGCCTACCCTTTAGGTCTCAGCTCAGACACCACTTCCTCTGGGATACCTCCCTGGACCCCAGGCCAAGTCAGTAACCTCTTCACTCTCACAATGCCCTGTGCTTCGCACATCACAGACCTTGTCTGCCTCCCCTCCCTAAAGGGCCACCTGCTCCTCTCCAGGGATCCCACACCAAGACTAGCTCTAGGTCGAGTCACCTGACTCTGTGCCTGGTTCTCAGATTCAGAGGTCCTAGATCTCAAAAGTCATCAAGTTGCAGAGAGAGCAAGGCCATGCCTGAGGCCAGTGAACCAGTGGCCAGGCTGGGATGGGAACCAAGACTCTTACCTTCCCTCCCAGGGCTTCCCTGCTCCCCCAGATGCCATTGTGAGTTGAGTAAGTCTCCTTGAGTGCCCGAAGGACTTTGACCAGCAGAGAGTTGTCAGGCCTCTGGCCTGGGGGGAAGGCAGCCATCAGCCTGGGCTCTTGGGAGCCCAGAGAGGTGGCGGAGGCTGTCCCAGAAAGCAGACTGGTGACTCCAGGCCAGCACATCTGATGAAAGTGTTTAATGAGACTCCTTTCTCCCACAGAGCTGTGCAGCGGGAGTGTGGCCTAGAAGTCATGCAGGGAGGACTTGGATTCCTGAAGGGGGTGGTGGCAGCTGTTAGGGCCCCTGGGTTAATTATCTCCAGCGTCACACAGAAGAGAATGTGCTGAGGAGAGACCTCCCCCACCTGGCCTCAGCTTGTCAGGGCAAGAGTCTCTCCAGGACTCAACCTGCTCCCCACCAGGCTGGGGTCCGAACATCAGCTTGGTGTTCCCTCAGGCCTCAGCTCCCCCATCCCACTCCGGCCCCAAAGGGACTCCTGGCTCTTCCCTGAGACTTCTTTGTGGGGTCCCACCTCTGGGCCTTCGCTCTTGCTGTGCCCTCTGCCTGCTCCGTGGCTGGGCCCAGCTCACTTGCTCAAGGAGCTCAGTAAACACTGGTGAATTGAATTGCTCTGTAAATAAACAAAGTGCCAAATAGGCTGCCTGGCACTTAGGAGATGCACCTCCCTAAATCTGCTAAGCAAGCAAATAACCCGAAATGAGAGAAGTGAAAGGATTCATCCAGTCTTTTCTTGTGCTTTTGTCCCCCAAACTGCTCGCCATTCATTTCTTCCAAGGAGCCCTGCTCTCTCTGATCCAGGCCTCTGCCTGAAATTTAGCCTGACCTTCGGTGTGTCTAGACAATCCTACCCTAGGTGTCAAGAAGCCTTCTAGGATTCCCACAGTGGCTCATACCCCTGACCTTCCTCCTTCACTTGGCACAAGTATGATGACTTACTCAACGGCTGTGAGTTCTGTAGGACCAGGGACCACAGTGCCTCATGGACTACTCTACGCCCAGTGCCCAGCACAGGAACTTGATGGATGCTCATAAATATCAACTATTGCATTAGGAATGACTGTAGGCCTTGGAACACTGGGGTATTTTCTCCCTCTCTGAAACTGCCTGGATAATTTGCAGAGTTGGTTCCATCAGTCATTCCAAATTGCCCAAATGCCCAGGCTCTCACTTGAGCCCTGTCTGGTCCCTTGCTATTTCTCTAGTCTTTCTCACTGTTGTTTTTCTCCTTGAGTTCCCACAAGAGCATAGAGACTTGACAGTTTCACACTAAAGCTGAAAACCTTCCCCAAGCTTCCTCCTCGCTTGTTTCCTGGAACCTGCTTTCCAATCTCTCTTGGCTTATAAAGCCAGTGACTCATTTACTGAGCCAGGCGTCTCCACAAGGATTTCTTTCTTGCAGAAAATGTGAAAGGAGCGGGTGACACCGTCCTTCATCCCCATCCTCTCTTGGCCCTGGCTTTTTAAAATCTAAAACCCCAGATTTGTTGTATCACGAGAGGCGGTGGAATTGCTGGGTTTCCCCTTGACATAGGCAGCCCTCCTTAAACCAGGGCCCTTGTATCCCCAGGGGCTCACCTTAAGGCATTTTCAGAGCTTTCAGAGTTTTCAGATCCCCAACCTCCAGACTCCACAATGGCAGAGAATCACCTTTGTTTCCTTGCTAACCTTCCACATAATCACAACCTCTGGCTCTCCCTGGAAATCTAGAAAACTACAGGAATGTATCTAATGCCCTTTCAGGATGCCAAGCCTTCACATCCTTCATAGGCACTAGAAATCACGCACATGCATAATTTCTAATTTGTGATAAAAATTTTCAAGTGAAAATGATAGAGTTTGCAGCTTGCACATCAGCTGTCCCTGGCAGGAGTTTTCACATTGAACTGGTGGGGAATTGTACAGACATCACCCACACTCACCCAGATGACCTGGGTGAGTGTGGGTGCCGGTCCATGTGAATTCTGAGAGAATCTGTGGCAGCTGGGAGGGGTGTGGGGTGGGATTTTAGGGACCGCTGATGCAACTGGTTGGATGGGGGTTGAATGAGGGTGTCCAAAAATCTTAGTGGGTGTTTGAAAGGCTAGGTATGTATTTGTGTTAAATTCCTGAGGGTTATCAAAGGCACTGCTTGAATAAAAAATGCTTTGCATTTTTTCATTGTTTTCCTTTCAGTGCAACAAAGCAGAGGGATGGCTTGTGGACAGTGAATTAACCAGGGTTAAACAACGTTTGAAAAACGATGCTGGAGGAGTCCAATAACTCTTATCATCTTCATAGTCATCATCAATAACATAGAGTAACAACAGTCATCATTTTTGAGGACCTAATAAGTACCATACGGCTGTATGCACACACACACACACTTGGGTATCATGGCACATACCAGTCAAGGTAGTCTTATCTACTGTGGGTCCCCTATTCTGCTATTCTACACTGGTCTTGGAACCTTTTACCCAGGACATATTTTATGGGATTCAGTGCAAAATAAAAAGGTAGAGCACCTTGTTCAGAATGATCATGAATTTCAAGGTGGTGACAGCAGGGCATTAAACAAGTGTGGGACCCTTTCGAGCAGGTTGCCCTGTGTGACTAAACAGCTCTCAGGCCTGTGAAGCAGGTCCCGCTTTCACCTCTGTCTAGGTGCACTGCTCAAACTTTTCTCCACTGGGAAGATTTCCCCCCACAGCTGGGGGTGCAATGCAAGAGCAGTTCATTTTCAGTTTGTTTCTTTCACACCAAAACAGCACGTCCTTGAACCAAGCTTGGGCTTTCTCCCTCTATGAGCCGTTTGCTGGGTACCCCACCTGATGCATGGGTGTGAGATGAGCGATAGGTATCAGTGCAAGAGTGTTAGGCGCCGTTGGTATTTGAGCCACCTGTTGATAGAGATTACTTATACTATTTGGATCTGCCTAAGCTTGAGCTGGGATATACAACATCTAATTAATGACGGACTCGCTTCTTGGCCTGGCCAACCTAATGATTTTGTGTGTCGGCCAGCACCCAGTTCATGACAAGCAGGTCTAGCCACATGTTCACATGATGACCCACAGTCATGAACTCAGTCAATAACCAAGGTCAGCAATTTCTCTTCTAATGTTGTAGAAGAGAGTGGGACTCTCCTGTTGGGGCTTGCCCAAGGCTCCCCACAGAATCTTTCTCTGTGATGGAATCTACCTGATTGTTTGACATAAGCGGCAGGACTGCTCATACTGTAGCCTGGACCTGCTGCAGAGTCCACTCTCGTTCTAGAAATCACGCGAAATTAGCAACCTTCCACATCACCTGATAAATGGAACAGTGAGAATACAAGAGAATTTTGTATTCTTCCTCCAAAACCCAAACAGGAACAGAGGCACAAAAACAGTGGAAAAACAGAAAGTGAATAGTAAAATCATGGAACTAAATCAACCGTATCAATAATATGAGTAATAATTAGATGTAAGTGTACTACAATGCCAAGTCAAGGGCAGAGATTCTCCGATGAACAGAAAAGTAAGACCCAACTATATGCTGTCTATAATTACTCTCACTTTAAATATAAAGAAATAAATAAGGTGAAAGTAAAGAATGGATAAAGATACGCCAAGCTGACAGTGAGCCTAGGAAAGCTGCAGTGGCAATAGTCATATCAGACATGGTAGACTTCAAGAGAATGGGTGTTATCCAAGCTAAACAGGGAAATCCATATGGATAAAATCATTCACTGGGAAGTCATAATAATCATACATGTGTGTATATGTAGTAACAGAGCTTCAAAATATTTGAAGAAAAGAACTGACAGAAAAGGGAAGAACTAGACGAATCTATAATAGTCATTGAAGACTTTTATACCCCACACATCAAAGAATAAAATAGCTGGACTAAATAATAAGGAAATACATAGAAGAACAGTAGAACATTGTCAACTACCCTGACTGTAACGGACATTTATGAACACTAAACAGCTGCAGCGTTCATTTTCTTTTCCAGCAAATGTGCTACCTTCACCATGATAGACCATATGTTCACCCATCAAACGATATTCATAAAATTCAAAGAATGTGCCAAGTATGTTCTGTGACCACGGTGGAAGGAAATGAAAATGAATAACGATGAGATTCACAGAAAAATCTCAAACATTTGGAAATCATACAACACACGTAAAGGATCCGTAGGTCAGAGGAAACATTTCACAGGAAATTAGAAAATATTCTGAATGAAGTGATAATAAAAACTAAACATATCAAAATTTGTGGGATATACTGAGGCAGTGATTAGGGAAAAATTTATAGCTTAAAACACTTACATTGTAGAAAAGAAAAATATAAAGTGGGGGATTAGTCCAGCAACATTCTCATGGCTTTGTGGTAACAATGCAGAGTATGAGCACTGCAGGGCAAGAGACTCCTCCTGGTTTCCCTGCCTACAGGCTCCTATCCCTCTCACATGGTAGCCCGGAATATCTAAAACACAAAACTATCTGTCACTCCCCTGCTGCAAACCCTCCCATGGCTCCCCACTGCTTCAGGGTGAAACTCAAAATGGACCTTGGCAAGGTCCATTTTTCTTTATTTTTAAAAAATATTTATTTATTTATTTTTGGCTGCGTTGGGTTTTCGTTACTGCACACAGGCTTTCTCTAATTGCAGTGAGCGGGGGCTACTCTTCGATGCGGTGCGTGGGCTTCTCATTATGTTGGCTTCTCTTTGTTGCAGAGCATGGGCTCTAGGCACGTGGGTTTCAGTAGTTGTGGCACGTGGGCTCAGTAGTTGTAGCTCGCAGGCTTTAGAGCGCAGGCTCAGTAGTTGTGGCGCACGGGCTTAGTTGCTCCGTGGCATGTGGGATCTTCCCGGACCAGGGCTTGAACCCGTGTCCCCTGCATTGGCAGGCAGATTCTAAACCACTGCGCCACCAGGGAAGTCCCAAGCTGACCTTTTCTGACCTTGCTCCTGCTCAACTTTACCTCTCATGCCAGGCCTTGTTTGTCTGTGTGCTACATCTGGCTTCCTGAACGGTCCCTTGAAATCAAGAGTTTCTTTTTCTCCTCTGTCTTTTTTTGCTCTAGAACTAGGGTTGCCAGATAAAATACCTCGACTCCCAGTTAAACTTGAATTTCAAATAAATAATGAATAACTTTTTAGTATAAGAATGTCCCCGGGCTTCCCTGGTGGCGCAGTGGTTGAGGGTCCACCTGCCGATGCAGGGGACGTGGGTTCGTGCCCCGGTCCAGGAGGATCCCACATGCCATGGAGCGGCTGGGCCTGTGAGCCATGGCCGCTGGGCCTGCGAGTCCGGAGCCTGTGCTCTGCAACGGGAGAGGCCACAGCAATGAGAGGCCTGCATACCGCAAAAAAGAGAGAAAAAAAAAAAAAAGAATGTCCCCAATATTGCACGGGGTATATGTATATACTAAAAAAGTATTCATTGTTTATCTGAAGTTCAAATTTAACTGGGTGTTAATTTTATTTTTTTTTTATTTGCCAAATCTGGCAACCTTACCCAGAACTGGCACATGGTGTTCCATCTGCCCTTTCCTTGCTTCTCTGCATGGGTGACTCCTTTTCCTGAGTCAGGTCTCAGCTTAGAAATACTCTCCCCCAGGAAGACAGTTCTCCCTCACCCTTTCTCAAGCTGAGGCTATAGTTGTCTCATTACTGTGCCTGAGCTGTGCCCCCCAGGCAGGGTAGGTCCACCTCATTCACTGCTAACTCCTCAATCCCTGGTATAGTGTCTAGCACTTGGTGACTACTCAATAAATACTTGTTGGGGCTTCCCTGGTGGCGCAGGGGTTGAGAGTCCGCCTGCCGATGCAGGGGACACGGGTTCGTGCCCCAGTCCAGGAGGATCCCACGTGCCGCGGAGCGGCTGGGCCCGTGAGCCATGGCCGCTGAGCCTGCGCGTCCGGAGCCTGTGCTCCGCAATGGGAGAGGCCACAACAGTGAGAGGCCCACATACCGAAAAAAAAAAAAAGAAAAAAAAAAAAAACTTGTTGAAGGAACAAGTGCTGACCTAGGTCCTAGCTATGGGGCTAGAGGGCTGGCCCACTTCCTGCCTTTCAAGCCCTTCCCCCCAGTAGGGGATGCATCAGTTATCTATCACTGCAAACAAACCACTCCAAAAATTAGTGACTTAGAAACACAGCAGCCATGTAGTTTGCTCACGAATCTACAAAATGAGCAGAGCTCAGCAGGCACAGCTCAGCTCTGCACCCCGCACCCCTAACCCCTAACACACACAGCTGGAGTAGGAGAATCCACTTCCAAGATAACTCACTCACATGGCTTTCAAGTTGGTGCTGTATGCTGCTTCTCTCCACATGTGCCTCTCCACAGGGTGGCTGGGGCTTCCTCACAGCGTGACAGCTGGGTTCCAAGAGCAGTATCTCAAAGGAGACAGAAAATGGCAGATGCTAGTTTTCTAAGGCCTAGATCTGGGAACTAGTACAGTGTCACTTCCACCATATTTTATTGGTTAAGTAGTTGCAGAGTCCATATTCAAGGAGAGGGGTCATAGACCCCTGTCTCTAAATGGAACAAGTGCTAAAGAGTTTTGTGACCGTGTTTTAAAGCTACCACAGGAGAGAATACTCACCACAAAGGAATTGACAGAGCGTATCATCAGCACCAGTCTGAGTGTATGACGGTTCATAGGATGCTTTTCTCTCCATGGTGTGCAGCACGGGCCAAAATATTCAGGGAGTCTTAGAGTGACATAGGGCAAGAGGGACAGAGAGAGGAAGCAAGGGAGCAAGACAGAGAGAGAGAGCAGAGAGAGAGGTGTGTGAGGTAAGGAAAGTCGTCCCTCGGAGCAAGAAGAATGTGAGCAACTCAACCAATGTAGGGACTTCCGATAACGGTACCTGAAGGGAGGCTGCACAGTTGGCACCTGTCATGGGTCCGCTGGGATGTTGTAAACAGACAATTTCAAATTGAATTCTTTTCTTTTGGTTTTGAAAAAAAATTAGTCTATAGAAAGCTGACAGAATAGTCAAATGAACAACCCACACACCTGTCACCTAGTGTCACTAACGGTTAACATTTTACCACATTTGCTCTTTGAAAGTAAGTTACAAACAAGACATCTCCCTCCCCAATCCTTTGGCCTGCATTCCCTCTCCCGCCCCACTCCCTCCCACCAACCTTCCCACCCAGCAGTGTACTCTCTGCACCAGTGGTTTCACTTGGGGTGATTTTGTCCCCCAGGGATTATTTGACAATGTCAAACGGAGACTTTTTTTTTTTTTTTTTTTTTGTGTGGTACGTGGGCCTCTCACTGTTTGGCCTCTCCCGTTGCGGAGCACAGGCTCCAGACGCGCAGGCTCAGTGGCCATGGCTCACGGGCCCAGCCGCTCCGCGGCATGTGGGATTTTCCCGGACCGGGGCACGAACCCGTGTCCCCGGCATCGGCAGGCGGACTCTAAACCACTGCGCCACCAGGGAAGCCTGACATTTTTTAAATTACAGTTTTTATTGAGAAAAAATTC